CAAATCTAAGCTTCAGCCTGGCACCCTGGTTTTAACTTGCTGTGATGGTGATGGAGAAGGGAGTTGCAAGGAGAAGAAAGGATACCTCAAAGATTTACACCACTGGGGCCGGCATTGTGGCCTAACAATTTAAGCTGCCGCCTGCAATGCCAACATCCTGTATGAGTGCCGGATCGAGTCCCAGCTGCTCAACTCCCAATCTAGCTCCGTGCTAATGTGCCTGGGAAAGCAGTGGAACATGGTCCCTGCATCCACGTGGGAGACCAAGGAGAAGCTCCTGGCTCCTGGCTTTGACCTGTTCTGGCCCTGGCCATTGCAGCCATTTGGGGAGTAAACTAGAGGATAGAAGATCTCTCTGTCTCTCTCTTTGTCTTTCTATCACCTTCTCTGTAACTTTGCCTTTCAAATAAATAAAGTAAATTTTTTAAAAAAAGATTTGCATCACTGGAAGCTTTGTGGTCCACGCCCACTGCCTTCTGCCCCCGAGCTGTGCCTGCTCACTAGGCTGAGCTGGGGAGCCTGCTGGGAAGCTGCATCAGTACCCACAGCCCCACGTTAACCAGCTAATGACACCCCTAGGCTCCACCAATTCTCAGAGAAGCAGTGGCCTGGGTGATTCTAATACTCAGGTGTAAATCTTGGAGGATTAATCACGTCTCGTTTCTTTTCCATCTCAGTATGTTTAGTACCTAATGGAGCCATGCCTCAAGCATGTGTGGAATGATGCAAAGACTTGCTGAGACTTCAGTGGAGTGCCCGCCGGTCAGGGGGATTTTCTCTGGGAGATAAGCGCTTGCTTAGGCTGCTGGTGTTAAGACTGTGCTACTTTGGAAATGTTTTCAGCTTGGCTCAGGGCATTGAGTATGGATGGCATCTTTTCCCGCTGCCTGTGTATGCTGCACTCTACAATCTCAGCCCCAGAATTCTGAATACCAAATACTCCAGTGAGAGCAGGGAGGACGTATACCAAAGGTGACAGACTGTGCTGCCTTATAGCACTTTTCATCAAGACATGATGGAAAGGGCCGGCTTTGTGGCACAGCAAGTCAGGCTGCCACCTGCAGCAGCAGCATCCCCTATCAGAGTGCCAGTTTGACTTCTGCCTCCTCTGCTTCTGAGCTAGCTTCCTGCCAATGTACCTGGTTAGGCAGCAGAAGATGGCCTAAGTATTTAACCCTTGCCACTCATGTGGGAGATATGGATAGAGTTCCTGGCTTCTCTCTCTCTTTCTCTCTCTCTCTCTCTCCCCACCTCACCACCATTCTCTCTCTGTTGTTCCACCTTTCAAATAAAGAGGTAAGTATTAAAACAACAAAGACTCAGCAGAAGTGCTTGTTGGCCCAGGGAGGCATGTGTAAGCACTGTAATTGCAGCCTTGTATGTCAAAGCAAAACTGTAAATAACCTTAATGTCAATCAGTAGGAAGAGAGCTCAGTAACCTGAAAATGAAAAATGAAATACAATGCAGCAATACAGAAGAATGAGGTAGGTGAGTATATACTGACAAAGAAATAGCTCCAAGTTACACTAAGTGAAGAGAGTAGAAACTCAAGTTCTCTGTGATGCAATTTATCATAGAACAAAGATCTATAGATCAAAGCCATGTAACTTCTTTTTTTTTTTGACAGGCAGAGTGGACAGTGAGAGAGAGAGACAGAGAGAAAGGTCTTCCTTTTGCCGTTGGTTCACCCTCCAATGGCCACCACGGCCGGCGTACCACGCTGATCCGAAGCCAGGAGCCAGGTGCTTCTCCTGGTCTCCCATGGGGTGCAGGGCCCAAGCACTTGGGCCATCCTCCACTGCACTCCCGGGCCACAGCAGAGAGCTGGCCTGGAAGAGGGGCAACCGGGACAGAATCCGGCACCCTGACCGGGACTAGAACCCGGTGTGCCGGAGCCGCTAGGTGGAGGATTAGGCTATTGAGCCGAGGCACCGGCCGCCATGTAGCTTCTAAAAATAGACTGATGTGTGTAAACACATAGAAGTGGGCCTATGAGGACATTCACCAAACAGAACTATGAGAACTGTTCTAAATAAAAGTGGAATGGAGAAGAGGGGGAGATGGCCAGAGTTTGTTTTCTTTAATGAGAATGTGTATGTATATATATATATATATGTATATATATATGATGTATTATTGTTACTAAAGAAGCATTAATATATAAAATGCAACAAATATTCTAAAATAATGCACAAAGCATCTTTTTATCTTCCATAAAAATAGTCTGATCCAACCTCAGTGTGGATCCATGGGCTTGGAAAGTGACATTTTAGGAATTTGACCTTGGGGGTACACCGGCAAATCTTACCATTCAACATCTACATTTATGCATATTTAAACTTATAAAAGTAAATCTGCACATAAAAGCTTTCCAGACTAAATATGTATCTAAAACTTTGGTAGTTTCACCTATTAGGACATAATGATTGAAATTGTCAAATGAGGACAGGACATGTAGAAACAGGCACATGTTTATATTATAGGTGAGAATGTAGGTGAGAGTATAGGTTATAATTATCGAAATTATAAATACTAATCCCTTTGACAACATATCACCACCAGGAATTAATCCCAAACATGTGAACAAAAAACACTTTTAACAGCATTCTTCATAGCATTAGAACTTTCCTAGATATTTATAAATGTGACTTAGATACCAAATAATCCAAAGCAAGTTGGGAGGGGAATTGAGGTGGCATCTTTTAGATTTAGTGGCTTCTCTAGTTGAACAGGGAAGAAGCAATGGTGACCCTGGTCTCTAGCCTGATCCATAGGGTGGGTGATTAAGGCATCAACTGATATACAGAGAGAAGATGGTATTTGTAGGAGTCCCTGGGTAGAGATATGTGGTAAATATAATGAGTTTAGTGTTCGGCTGAAGAACATGAGTCAATTGAGGGAATGTGGGATTTAGGACAGGGTTGTTGTCATGGAAGAACAAGACTAAAGAATTATAATTAGGTAAAATGGTAGATATAAATAATTCTGACATAAAACAGCTAACCAGATCTGCATATTTTGCAAACAAGATTCTTGAGAGTTGAGAAGCTAAGTAATTGGTATGAAATAAGTATATAACTTTAGGTGGTTGAGGTAGGATTTGGACTGAAACTCATCTTATAATAAGGCAACATTCACCCAGCTAAATGCTATTGCTATTGTAATGTGTGAATAGTGAAAATAAATCTATTGTGATGAGAGTTGATAATAAAATTTCATAAAAAGTTAGAAATGTCAAATATCAAGGTCTACAAAGAAGTCTCTATAATACCTACCCATCTGTAAAATAAAAATAATAATAAAAATACATATTTACTAACATAGTTGCTAATGTACAGGCCAGGAACCATGTAAAAGTAATATCTTTTAATTCTTATCCAATCTTCTAAGGTAACTTCTGTTCCCCTCCTATAGGTGAACAAATGGAGACTCAAAGAGATTGAGTGATTTGTTTAAGGCCACAGAGCTAGTAAGTAAGAACTCACAGTGAGATTCCTATCCAAGGATTCTTTTTTTTTTTTTTTTTTGACAGGCAGAGTGGACAGTGAGAGAGAGAGAGAGAGAGAAAGGTCTTTCTTTTGCCGTTGGTTCACCCTCCAATGGCCACCACGGCCGGCGTACCACGCTGATCCGAAGCCAGGAGCCAGGTGCTTCTCCTGGTCTCCCATGGGGTGCAGGGCCCAAGCACTTGGGCCATCCTCCACTGCACTCCCGGGCCACAGCAGAGAGCTGGCCTGGAAGAGGGGCAACCGGGACAGAATCCGGCACCCTGACCGGGACTAGAACCCGGTGTGCTGGCGCCGCAGGCGGAGGATTAGCCTATTGAGCTGCGGCGCCGGCCCCAGGATTTTTTAAAATGTTTCACCATGTGCCACACCGTCTCAGTCTGGGGATAATAGTACCTGCCTACCTACATACCTACTTACCTACCTGCCATGGATGTGGCTTAGAATTTTACCTGGAGAATTCACAGGGCCTGGAATCTGATGATTCTGATCTGGGTAGTCCTTGGATCACATTTTGAGAAATGCTGTTTTATGTGTTTTAAAAAATATTAAACCATGGGACTGGCACTGTGACACAATGGATTAAGCCACTGTCTACAGGATAGGCATCCCATATGGATGCTGGTTCAAGTACTGGCTGCTCTACTTCCTATCCATCTCTCTGCTAATGTGCTTGGGAAAGCAGCAGAGGATTCCTGAAGTCCTTGGGCCACTGCACCCACGTGGGAAACCCGGAAGAAGCTCCTGGCTTCTGGCTTCTGGCTTCAGCCTGGCCTAGCAGTGGCAGTTGTGGCCATTTGGGGAGTAAATCAGCAGATGGAAGATTCTCTCTCTGTCTCTCTCTCACTCTGTCTTTCAAATAAATAAAATCTTTTAAAAAAGAAAATATTAAATCATGATAGCTCTATACAAATGCAATAATTTTTATTGCTACTGATTGCTATGAGGTGTTTCTTGGGCAGGACAGGTCAATTTTTTTAAAAAGATTTATTTATTTGAAAGAGATACAGAGAGAGGTAGAGACAGAGAGAGAGAGATCCTCTATCCACTGGTTCATTCCCCCAGATGGCTGCAATGGCCAGAGCTGCACCGATCTGAAGCCAGGAGCCAGGAGCTTCTTTTAGGTTTCTCATGTGGGTGCAGGGGCCCAAGCACTTGGACCATCTTCTACTGCTTTCCCAGGCCGTGGCAGAGAACTGGATTGGAAGAGGAGCAGCCAGGACTAGAACCGGTACCCATAAGGGATGACAACGCCTCAGGCTAGGGCGTTAACCAACTGCACCACAGTGCCTGCCCCCTGGGACTGGTCAATTTTAATTTCTAAAGGCCTGTGTGTGTGTATGTGTGTGTGTGTGTGAGACTGTGCGGTCAGGATGGGTAGAAGCTCTGACACATCAGGCTTGGAGCTACCTAGCTAGTTCACTCACTCACACACCCGAGCAGTTTTCTAAGAATCACACTGACTGCAGACCTGCCACCTTCTCCTTTTCTAGGCATCAACAGCAAACGGCTCGGTGTGTGTGGCTGGATTCTGCTTACACTTTCTTTCCTGTTGATGATCATCACCTTCCCCATTTCCATATGGATGTGCTTGAAGGTAATACCCTGGGAAGTCAATGGGACTCTCCATATGAGCTGATGATGCATTCAGACTAAACGCTCTCCCTCAATCTCTTAGATCGTTAAGGAGTATGAACGTGCTGTCGTGTTCCGGCTGGGACGCATCCAAGCTGACAAAGCCAAAGGGCCAGGTAAGACGTCATGGCTGCCCCAGAGCAAGACAATGGGCACCTTCCTAGTGCTATCGCTGCCAATATTTTCCCTGGCACTGTGCACTGCTGGAGAGCCAAGCAGAACTGGAAGCCAGAGCTCTGTTAATGGGTGTGCCCCCTCGTTTGAGAGTGAAAATCTGAACCCATTTCCCCTCTCTGTCTTTCTGAGGCGTCCAGTGAATTTGAGCAAACGGTGACTCTGGCTAGGTTGGTTGGATGTCACTTACTACAAGGATCTCTAAGCGAATGCCATAAGAATGGATGGAAATAGTAAATGACCACTGTAAGCCACTGCATTACCTAGGGGCAGTACTCAGGAAGCTGACTTCGCTTCTTACTCTTTGCTAACAGAAAAGCAAAAGATAATTTCCTCCTGTGGCAACTGAATTAATAGAGAGATAGAGCAGAAAACTGCTGCCAACTTCTTGTGTCAGATACCCTGGCACTGAAAATAAGAAATCTGAAGCCAATGCAGGCTTGACGATTTATTTAAGATTAGCTTTGTAGGTGGCTTTAGGTATTACAGCACCTAATGTAGGTTGTGTCCTTCTCTCTACAACCTTGGAAGGAAAAAAATGTTCTAAACAGGTCATGTCATAAAAGGATGGGGCTCCTTTTATTTGGCCAAGGGTGGAGGTGTTGATACTAAAACTCCTTGGAAACAAGATCTTGATTTAATACTGGTAACTTTTCCCAGTGCATATTTAGTATGAAATTGCGAGGTTTGTTTTGATTCACAAAAATGGCCATTTTAGGTGGCTCTGTGGTGCAATGGGTAGCGCATTGGACGTCTAGTGACAAAAAAATGGCCATTTTATAAAGCTAATTCAAATGTTCTTGAAGGGAAATGCTATCAAAACAGGATCTTAGGGGTGTGCTTGGGGCACCGCAGTTAAGATGCTGCTTGGTACATCTCTATGCCATATTGAAGGGTCTGGATTTGAGTTCCAGCCCCACTCCCAATTCCAGCTTTTTTTTTTTTTTTGTAAGAGTTATTTATTTATTTGAAAGAGTAACACACACACAGAGCGAGCGAGAGAGAGCAAGAGAGAGAGAATCTTCCATCCATTGTCTCACTCCCCAGATAGCCTTAACAGTCATGGCTGGGCCAGGCCAAATTCAGTGGTCAGAAGCTTCATCCAGGTCTCCAATATGGGTGAAAAGGATCCAAACACTTGGGCCATCCTCTGCTGCTTTCGCCAGGACATTGATAGGGAGCTGGATCAGAAGTGGAGCAGCCAAGCCACAACCCATTGCCCAAATGCCACCAAAAGGTGGCAGCTTTACCCACTATGCCACAATGCCAGCCCCCATTTCCAGCTTCTTGATAACGTGCACACCCTAGGAGACAGCAGGTGATGGACAAGGAGTTTGGTCCTTACCACTCAAAGAATAGACTCAGAATGAGTTCCCAGCTCCTGGTTTCAGCCTGGCTCAGCTCTGGCTGTTGTGGGCATACGGGAAGTAAACCAGTAAATGGACGATCTCTCACTGTCTCTCTATCTCCCTCTCTGTCTCTCAGCCTTTCAAATAAAACCCAATAAATAAATTCCTAAATAATTAGGAATTTAAAAAACCTATAATCTCAGGAACAATGGTTATTAGCTATGGCTCTCTGACAATACTTGTTTTCTGCTCCATATCATGGTTGAATAAAATTGTTCTCTCTCCGACTGTATTCGGAGCTCTGGTGGCAAGAACTTTCTATCTGTGGTCACACTCTGTGTGCTTTGCACTTGGGTGTGAACCATGGTAGGTACCCAGATATCTGTAACCTGAAAAAAAAAATATGAGAAACTTCAAAACAGGTTGGTGAAGTAGGTTTGGCCATTCCAAGTGGTACAAACTTTCCTCTCTAGTTTCAGAAAAGACCTAAGAGAGCACAAGATTTACTTATCATGGATGTCCTTATGAACTTGTCAAACAGAAGTGTTGCGATCCCCCCGTGAGGGATCTAAGTTAAAATAAAACTGGATCGGAGCGAGGCAGAAGAGTGGTAACATGGAGAACAGAGAGAAAGATATCTCTTTTCAAATGTGCTTTCCCAGAGGATTTCACCACAAAGTGTCCCAGGGTGACAACAACTCTCGTCATCCGTGTCTCTAGAGTGAGCAAGTTACCGGGAGGGAAACAAGCCAAATTGCTAATGGAAAACCTCACCTCGTGCTGCCTTTAGTAATTTATTTCGCTATTATGTTGAATCATGCTTTAATTGTCATTACCATCTTACATTTATTAGGAAAGCAGAGCTCAGAAAAGTTAGGCGAATGTTCCCTGATTATGAGGCTCCTAAGTAGCTGGGCTGACACTTAATTCTCTCTATTTCCAAGGGCCGTGATCTTAACCAAGTGACTGGGCACAACAAACAAACAAACAAACAAACAAAAAAACAAAATCAACTTCAAGAAGCAACAACATAGATCAGCCCTTGTATAGAATGTTGAGGAACACGTCTCTTAGTTTGCTTCACTCCATTCATTCTTTTTTTTTTCTTTTTCTTTTTCTTTCTCTGATAAAACAGGAGAGGGAGCAGGAAGGGGGAGGGAGACTGGCTGGGAGGGAGGTTATGGTGGGAAGAATTACTATGTATATAATGTATTTATGAGATACATACAATTTAAAAATAAAGAAAGTGAATTGAGTGGTAATTCTGACCACAAATCTCAGGAAGTTTTAGAGATTGAAAGAAAGCACCTTCACATTGTTTTCTGCTTAAACTATCAGTCTTTTCCATAATGCTCAAAATGAAAATAATGTCTGCTTCGAAAACCCACCTTGAGGGCTGCTGGCACTGGGGCCTGAGGAGGGGGCAGTACCTTCACTCAGACCCTGCACTTCTACCCAGGGACCTGGCCTTGGGGAGCTGGGGCCTCCCCGGCAACCTCCCCAGAGGCCCTGAAACTGTTGGCTGGGACGCCCTGCACCCTGGTGGCCTGGGGTTTGTCCTGCTGCCAAGGGGCCTTGTTCCACTCCCCACACCCAGGCTAGCATGAGTGTGTGTGTCCGTGCTGAGCTTCTATTTCATACTGCAAATATAAAAAGAGGAAGATCGTTTACCTGCCTCCCCAAAAAAAGAAAGAAAAAGAAAAGAAAGAAAACTGGGACAATAATCCTGTAAACAGAAATGGATCTGCATCTTGCTGGAGCGTAACTTTTCCAGTAAAGAAAGAACATTCTCGGGCTAATGCTAAAGACTGACAGGGCTCCTGTACTCATCCTTCCCCGGCTACCCAGCTCTAACGCTTCCCAGCTCGGGAAGAAGAGAAAGTGTTCACAACGGGGGATGCTGTTGTCCTCAAACCAGACGTGGCTATTGGGAAACTCTGAGTCCTGTGATACGCTGGTTTCAGGGACTCTAAGGTCCTGGGAACATTTTAATCAATATTCCTTTAGTATTGTTGAAGGCAACTGAGAATGTTGCCAGTCACTGGAATTCAAGGCCAAAAGTTTGTATTTCTTGAATCTATAAAAAAAATCTTTATTATAGAAAAATTAACTTACAAAATATTGTCTTTAATTAATGTCAGCTCAAACACTTGGATAGCATAATGAGTGTTTTAAAAATAAAATCTAAAGAATTAGCTTTTTAGCTCCTTATCAAAGACCTTAATTCGCAGGTAACCAACACCCTTCCTTTAGTTGCTGACCACTAGATGGAAATCATTGTTCCCACAGCCGTATGTGTACACACTGATGACCACACGAAGGGCAGGATGAGCCAGCCCATGGTAATGATGAGCCATGTAGCTAGGAAAACACTTGTTGTGACTATTTTCAGTGGAGTGGAATTTCAAACTCATTTTCTCCTTTGCAGGTTTGATTCTGATCCTGCCCTGCATAGATGTGTTTGTCAAAGTTGATCTCCGAACAGTTACATGCAACATTCCTCCACAAGAGGTAATGCTGGGTAAAGGTAGGAGGGTACTTCAAAAAGTTGTGCAGAAAACAGAAATAAAAGTCCATTTTGAAGTCCATCTATAGTTTTTTCTTTTCTTTTTTTTTTTTTTTTGTTTTTTTTATTTTTTTGACAGGCAGAGTGGACAGTGAGAGAGAGAGACAGAGAGAAAGGTCTTCCTTTGCCGTTGGTTCACCCTCCAATGGCCGCCGCGGCCGGCGCGCTGCGGCCGGCGCACCGCGCTGATCCGATGGCAGGAGCCAGGAGTCAGGTGCTTTTCCTGGTCTCCCATGGGGTGCAGGGCCCAAGCACCTGGGCCATCCTCCACTGCACTCCCTGGCCACAGCAGAGGGCTGGCCTGGAAGAGGGGCAACCGGGACAGAATCCGGCGCCCCGACCGGGACTAGAACCCGGTGTGCCGGCGCCGCTAGGCGGAGGATTAGCCTAGTGAGCCGCGGCGCCGGCCCATCTATAGTTTTTTCTTAATACACATTTTCCATAAACTTTTTGAAGATCCCTTGCATTTTTAATCAAACTTATCTCTCCCATTACACTGACAACTGAAACCTTACAGAATGTTTTCAAATATAAGGTGGACAATGCACCAACTTCCCCCCAAAAACCTACTTAATTGACCAAGGTGGTTTCTGAAACTTGAAAAATGAGAAGGAAGCCAACTGCAAGGGTAGAACTGAAGACTTGGAATGGCCCAGATGGGAGAAGTTCCGAGAGAAAACTTGAAACTGTCAGGAGAGCTGGAATGGAGGAGGAAACAGATCCCCGGAAGAGGCAGAAAAGTCACTGGACAGAGCCGCGGAATTGAACCTGGCCTGAGACAGTGGCATGTCATGATGTCCACATGACTCCCTTTGCTTATGACTTTAAGTTGCATGTGTGTTTGGATGTGTCTGAGTAGGACAGCTCTGGGGACAGAGCGAAGGCCACACTCTTTCTAATACTTGAAGTGCTACAAATGATCAAACCAATAACTGGGCCCTAGGGAAGAGGAACCGAGTGACTAATAATAATGACGTCACCCTGTCAGAACCCGAGTGATCCAGGAAGAAAAGAAAATCCATATAGCACCCAGGATGTGGGAGGACAAAGGAAGAGGGAAGGCAAAAAGTCAACATTTGCGAGTAAATTTCATTTCCTTCTCCCTGGCTCAGGAAACGCAATCAGGACCAACAGTGCCACCTGCAGGCCGCTGTCGGGAACTGTAGAGCGGAAACTGGATTCAGGCAGGCCCAGGCCGAGAAGCGCTTGCAATGTGTGCTGACCTAGAGTGGGGCTTTTCTGTCTCCATAATAGACAGTTGTAGGTCTGGGTTTCATGATACACGCAGTAATCTCTCACTGGCTTCGAAACACCTGGCCACACACAAAAAGCTTCATGCCCAATCTTTGTAATGCTAAATCCATTTTTCGCTACTTGAATATAAACACGGTCTCTGGTGCCATCTATGGTTTCTAAGAAGTACTGCATCGTCAAGTCTTAGAAGCAAATAGATTAGCAAGAACACAACGTACTACCTCTGTTTAGAATTAAAAGGTGGTGGAGTCCCAGAAAGTTCCACTACTCTGTTGAGACTGGAAATATCTGCTCTCACCACTGCCAGCCAAGGGCTTCTGCCTATGCGATGTTAAGGCGTCTCTAAGGTGAAGTAACAGGTAGATATAGGCTATGTCTGTGCAGGAATTTTGGCATCAACTATGAAGATATTACACTTAAGCAAGGACAGGTGTCTGGTCAGTAATGCTGTCCTGTGGAGGAGGGCTCTTGGGCTGGCTGTCATTTCATCACTCGCTGTGATCTTGCCCTGTTCTTGCTCTACAGATCCTCACCAGAGACTCTGTGACGACACAGGTGGATGGAGTCGTCTACTACAGAATCTACAGTGCGGTCTCGGCAGTGGCTAATGTCAACGATGTCCACCAGGCCACATTTCTGCTGGCTCAGACCACTCTGAGAAATGTCTTAGGGACACAGACTTTGTCCCAGATTTTGTCGGGGCGGGAAGAGATTGCTCACAGCATCCAGGTAAGGGCTCCAAGAATGAAGAACCTGTGCTTTCAATCATTTCAATGATCCGTGGTTATCAAGTGGTAGTCAGAGCATCCCCCACATGTGTGTTCTCACACATGCATACTCACACACATGCATGAGGGGAGCTTCAGCTTGCGATTTTATTTATCGATCATCATGAGGTACATATTTAAATATCTGGGTGGGAGAAGAGAGCTGCTGGAATTGTATTCTTAGCAATTTTCTTTGGAATTCAAAATTATGAATTAGTAGTGTAGCTTTTTCTGAAGAAGTCAGAGATGAGATTTATTTTAGTATAGATTACTCCAGAAGGGCTCCCATTTCCTAGGGTGTGTATTTATTCCTACATTCAGTAGAAGTATGAAAGTTAGAAGACAATGGATATGAATCACAGATCTACCATACTATCAGTATCAATAGCAATATTAATAATATTTATTGTATTGATGAGGATATATCAAGTATCAACCCCATCTCTTGCACATCCTGGTTTATACACAATCATATTTCTATATTTTCTTGAATCAATAATGTTTTTTGAAGATTTATTTATTTATTTATTTGAAAGAGTTAGGCCAGTGCCGTGGCTCACTTGGTTAATCCTCCGCCTGCGGCATGCACCAGCAATCCTTATGGGCGCCGGGTTCTAGTCCCGGTTGCCCCTCTTCCAGTCCAGCTCTCTGCTGTGGCCTGGGAGGACAGTGGAGGATGGCCCGAGGGCTTGGGCTGCTGCACCCGCATGGGAGACCAGGAAGAAGCACCTGGCTGCTGGCTTCGGATCAGCGCAGCGCCAGCCGTAGTGGCCATTTGGGGAGTGAACCAATGGAAAGAAGACCTTTCTCTCTGTTCTCTTACTCTCAGTGTCTATAACTCTACCTGTCAAATAAATAAATAAATAAAAAAGAGCTACACAGAGAGAGGAGAGGAGAGGGAGGAAAAGAGAGAGAGAGCGCGAGATATCTTTCATCTGCTGGTTCACTCAGAGAGAGAGAGAGAGAGAGAGCACGAGATATCTTTCATCTGCTGGTTCACTCACCAACTGGCTGCTATGACTGGAACTGCACCAATCTGAAGCCAAGACCTGGGAGCTTCTTCCAGGTCTCCCACATCGGTTCAGGGGCCCAAGGACTTGGGCCATCTGCTATTGCTTTCCCAGGCCATAGCAGAGAGCTGGATGGAAAGTGGAGCAGCTGGGACTCGAACCGGTGCCCATATGGGATGCTGGCACTGCAGGCAGCGGCTTTACCTGCAATGCCATGGTGCCGGCCCCAGAAGTAATGTTTTGATACTGATCCCCCTTTCTGTAAGCTGGGTGAGGAAGTTGAGGTTTGTTTTCCTCAGCGTCTGTTCCAGTCTGTAAGGATGTAGCTCCAACGTTTCCCAGCCATGGTCAGGTCACAGGCTTCTTGTGTGTTTCACCAGATCCCTGGTTCTACGAGGATCACAGAAAGATCAGGGATTACTGGATCATGTGGCAGCACAGGGCTCCACGCCTCCGCTCTGGGGGACCTCCCTTCTGATCTTACCATTTCTTAAAGCATTTTCCCCATCACCTCCTTCAGGTTCACCAGCAAGTTGTCTGCAGTGGTATTAAATTTTCACAAAGGACAAGAATATCTTTGATTTAAGGCTGCTTGTGCTTTTTAAAAAATATGCCTTGCTATTTTTTAAAAACTGGCTACAGGACAGAGGTTAAACAGAATGAGATGAATACCATCTCCAAAAGTAAATAATATCCCTTGGGTCACTGTTAGACACTGAGAGGTGGAGGTCTTCTGCCCAAACCGCAATACTGTCCTGAAAAGAAACCTGTAATGGGTAAGAAAACTGAGAACCAGAAAGGTAAGAAACTGGCCCAGTATTCACAGCAACAGGTGACAGGGCCAGAACAAAACCCGGGTCTATCTGAGAAACCCATGCATGGCTGCCTGCTTGATGTCAGTGACAAGAAAGCGTGAGGCATTCGCTCCAATCTGAATGGATGTCAGATACTTCCTAGGGGCGGTTTGCGGTGGATCTTTCTGGTAGATCTCCCACAGACGATCTGGCAGGTTTTGCTCTTGAATCCTTTATGGGATTCACTTCAATCCAAGGAAGTCATCAGAAAGTGTGGAAAGAGAATGTCAGTCCACATGCTGTGACTACAAAAGGAGAAAGAGACGGAGGATTTATCGTGTGGTATTGACTGTGTCCGAATCGTACATCACAGCCCCTGCCTTCTGATCAATGTTCTTCCTTTTGATTCGGAAACAGACCTTGCTTGATGATGCCACTGAGCTGTGGGGCATCCATGTGGCCCGAGTGGAAATCAAAGATGTCCGGATTCCTGTGCAGTTGCAGAGATCCATGGCAGCTGAGGCGGAGGCCACCCGGGAAGCCCGAGCCAAGGTTAGGACTGCCCAGTTAAGGGGTGGGGGGGATGAGCTGCTGGTGTGGGGTAGACAGGGATAGAGCTTGAAGGTCAGGGTTTTGCAATTATGTTTTTATTTATTTATTTATTTATTTTAATAGAAAACTTTTATTTAATAAATGTAAATTTCAAAAGTACAACTTTTCAATTATAGCAGTTTTTCCCCCATAACCACCCTCCCACCCCCAAACCATCCCACCTACTCCCTCTCCCATCCCATTCTTCATTAAGATTCATTTTTAATTATCTTTATATACAGAAGATCAGTTCTATACTAAGTAATGATTTCAACAATTGGTACCCACACAGACACACAAAGTATAAAGTACTGTTTGAAGACTAGTTTTACTGATAATTCTCATAGTACAACACATTAAGGACAGAGGTCCTATGTGGGGAGTAAGTGCACTTGTTGATTTAACAATTGACACTCTTTATTTATGACGTCAGTAATCACCCAAGGCTCTTGTCATGAGCTGCCAAGGCTATGGAAGCCTCTTGAGTTCACAAACTCTGACCTTATTTAGACAAGGCCATAATCAAAGTGGAAGTTCTCTCCTCCCTTCAGAGGAAGGTACCTCCTCTTTTGGTGGCCCCTTCTTTCCACTGGGATCTCACTCACAGAGATCTTTCATGTAGGCTATTTTTTTTGACACAGTGTCTTGGTGCTCCTTGCCTGAAATACTCTCATGGGCTTTTTAGCCATATCTGAATGGCCTAAGGGCTGATTCTGAGGCTAGAGTGATGTTTAGGGAATCTGTTATTCCATGAGTCTGCTGTGTATCCCGCTTCCCATATTGGATCTTTCTCTCCTTTTTAATTCTATCAATTATTATTAGCAGACACTGGTCTTATTTATGTGATCCCTGTGACACTTAATCCTATCTTTAGCAATTATTTAGCAATTAAAGTTTATTTAATTATTCATATGTTAATTGAAAGGCAGAGAGAGAGAGAGAGAGAGATAAAAGTTTTCCATCCACTGGTTCACTCCCCAACTGGCCACAACAGCCAGGACTGGGTTAGGATGAAGCTAGGATCCAGGACCCCACCTTGGTCTCCCATGTGAGTGATAGGGACCCAACCATGTGAACTATCCCCTGCGGCCTCCCTGATGCCATTAGCAGGGAGCTGGAATGGACAGGAGAGCCAGGACTCAAACCCAAGCACTCTGTATGAGATGAGAGTGTCCGAAGTGGCAGCTTAGTCCACTGTGCCTCAATGTCAACTCCTTGCAATTATTATTATTGCTATTTTTTAATCAGAAAAGATTTTTCTGCCAGTGAAGTCTCCTGAAATTAAAAGTTATGAACAGTTTTGTATACCCCAGGGAAGCCTGGTATCAGGTCAAGAGGAGGCTCAGCACGTGTGGAGCCACTTAGCCATGTGTGGCCCAACTCCGGATGCACATCCAGAACACCAACTCCCAGACCTCACTCCAGAACAGGGAAGCAGAGTGTGGGGTGGGCTCAGGCTCCTACATTTGTATAAAGCTAATGATTGGGATGTAGCCAACTTGGTGTCTGTCTCTTGAGCATCATTGTGCTAGGATGTTAAATGCTACTGGATTTAAAAAGGTAATGCAATACAATTCATGTTAGGGTTAAAAATGTAAGTGCACCCTGGCCCTGAGAGTCCCTGAATGCATTGGTGCTGTAGCTGTCAAGTCCATGTGGATTGGTTTCCTGAAATATCAGCAACCTGCAGATTAGAACCCTTTGGGAAGCCCTTTTTGGAATCTCACTCGTGAGGTGATGAAGGTTTTTCTCTACCCCTATTTCTTACTCATATCTGGTTTGTCTGCTAGGTTCCAGCAGCTTCCCAGCGGGCACTTGGCAATGTTGCATGGGGATCACTTTCACACACAGGCAGGAAGCGCCCACCAATTGGGCAACCGAGTGCCAGCCGCAGGGTTGTTTGTGGGCAACCTGAGAACTATGAGGAGAGCAGAGTGCTTAAAAGATTTCCAGTGGGTGTTATCAGACTGGCACTCAGCACTAGCCATAAAGAGCCAAGAGAACTAGGAACAGCTCTGGCATTGTAAGAATTAGACTTTGTTGGCAACAGAATAAACAAAATCTCTCCTGTGATTAAAAAAAAAAAACAGACAAAAAAAATCAGTTAGAAGCCTTCAATTTCAGACTTTTCTCAAAACTAATGCAGCGGTTAGGGAGGCCCCAGAGTGGTTCAAGAGCATTGCTGGGGTGGCTGGCCAGGAATCCTTGGATCCTTTGCGTTAAAGATAGCACTTTTACTTCTGTTTGAAAATGAAATCCAGACGCTTATAATTTGTAAAATATCTCTCCCTGCTTCCTGCAATCTCCTTGCGTTTCTCTGACCACGTAAGCATGTGAAACCCTGATCTTCGCCAAAGAAGCAGATAGCACACTTGTGGCCAAGTTGGGGCACAGTTCCAGGAAAAGAAAGCTCCAGTCCCTGCTGTGAACGTGTGTTTCTGTCGTTTTAGGTCCTTGCAGCTGAGGGAGAGATGAATGCTTCCAAGTCTCTGAAGTCGGCCTCGATGGTGCTGGCCGAGTCCCCCGTAGCCCTCCAGCTGCGCTACCTACAGACCTTAACCACTGTAGCCACCGAGAAGAATTCCACCATTGTGTTCCCTCTGCCCATGAATATCCTGGAGGGCATTGGTGGCATCAGCTATGACAACAGCAAGAAGGTTCCCAGCTGAGCCTGAAGTCCTCTTGAGGGAGCTAGTCCCTCGCTTAGAGAGTTGTATCTGTTCCAAAATTTCAGCACTAGTGAAGCCACAGAAACTGTAGGCTTAGAAAACACTAGCAGGAGAAAGCTGTAGAGGCTACAAAAGAAACGAAGAAGTAAAACCGAGGGCTGTGTGTGACTTTTATTATTAATGATATAATCAACTTTGCAATATGCTTATATAGTTAACTACTAGCTGTCTCTGGCTCATTATCAGCAACTTTCTTGCAGTGGGAGAGGAAATACTGGGTGACTATGACTAAGATTTCCAAATTGCTTTTTAGGTGTTTCAAGAAGCATTCTAGGTAAAATATATAAAGTAACATTGGCCTCACATATATATTACATTATTTACTTTCCAATCCCAAATAATTACTTGCTCAGTCTCCAGTAGTTGCAACAAAATCCCACTGTGCTGAAAATTATGATTTATTTTGAAGTTACATCGAAAGAGGCACGGAGTTTTCCAGCTGCAAATATGCCAGCATCCCCACAGAGGGAATTGATTTCTGCTCATGATCCCCACTGTTTTGTCATACAACCTGCTGGGAGTGTCAGCCAGTTCTCAGTTTTCCAGCATCTCAGTTGGGGGTGGGTCCAGGGGACAAGGCGTAGTAAGGTGGCATGCTCTGGGCAGTTTATTGGCTTATGAAGGAGAATGCTTTTTAAAGGTCTCATTGGTTGAAACCATAGGGAACAACACCCTGTGTAATTCCTGTCTTGATTCTGTTGTTGGTCCCAAGAGCCATAAGTATTGGAGGATTGTTTGTGAACTTTACCTCTATTCCTCAACACCTACTTGTCCTGCCCTAGCATCCAATAACTTGTTAAAAATAAAGCATCCAAAGAATGTGAGTGCATTTAACATTTTGCTTTGTTGGAGACCTATAGTGTTCATGACTCCAAATGTATGCAAATATGTCCATGTGTGTGAACATGGTCTCCACACCTCTCACACTCCCTTCCTCGCCCCTCCCATAAAATCACACCTGCTTCACATGCCCCCATCTCTGCTCACATCACCTCCATGTCCTCTGCTCACACACCTGCTGTCTGCACACAGGCATTAGCTACATAAGCAGGCAGTATGGGAATCACACTAAACCCTTGATTGTGTTATTTGTTTTTTCCATTGAAACCCTATCACTTTTGGACAACCCACAGCTTACAGATTTTGTAGTAGATTCTACTGATTCTATGGCCCTAGCACTAATTTTTAACCTACTGAGATACATATTTTTTCCTTAAGGGCTGCTAAGTACCTGTATTTGAATGGAATTAGATACTTAGATGCATAGGCATAAATCCAAGACAGGTCAACTACAGCCACAATCTGAGTTTGTGAGGTCATATCACTTAGACAGTTACTGGAACTCTCTCTACTTAGAACAATGGCACAGATTTCATCCAGACTGGAACACTTCTGGCTCTGGCAGCCACCTGAGGAGTCCCTGCTGGTACAAGGGGGTGTTGCTGGCCTATTGCAAATATCTTTTCTTAGCTTTATTTTGCAAATCTACAGTTAATACATTTTTGTTTGTTTCAGTAATTTACATTATAAGATGTAAATCTTTTCAGGCAATGCACAGCAAACTCCAGAGGTTTTCCTAAGAGAAACATCTTCTCACTCACCAGAGCACCAGAGATTTCTTTCCAAAATGCACAGTTCCCACCTCCTCCAAAAAAAAAAAAAAAAAAAAGAAGGAAAAATAAACAAAAAAGCCAAACCAAAAGAATACACACACACGAAATAAATAACTACAAAGCACATACCCTCTTGCATCCCCTGTGGATTGGGAATGGTGGTATGAAAACTGTATCAGAATCTTGGGGCTGTGGGAGATGTCCTTTGAAAGCTCCTTAGTAGTTTCAAATTACTCCATACCCTCCAGCCCTAAGCTTCATTAATTCTTCAGTGTGGATTTCAACAGATCATTTATTATATTAGTTACTAAAGGCTGACCTTTGGATGTAAGTGTATTTGGGGACAAGCAGGCTATAGAAGAATCTGGAAAGACCAGAGCTTTCCTGGAATTTAAATGCCAAGGTTGATATTCCAAACACAGTCACCCCATCCCAAACCCTGAAATAAGGCTACAGTTGTTTTTTTCTTGGGGAGGGCAAAGCCAGGAGAGGAAAGAGTAGATAAACTTTCTTGGAGAGAGGAGTGCATTCTCCTTGTCCTGGATAAGGTTATCCTTATCATGGTTACCCTTATCAATATTTAAGCCAGTGTAGACAGTCCCCATCAGATATTTTTGTGTTAGCAGCAGGCATGGCTTGCAGTAACCATAGTGTGGAAGCAGTGTTGGAAGCCCCTAGTTGTTACAGGCATTGCCTCTTTGCTGCTGGGTCTGGCAGTAATACCAGTGATACTGGTACTGTTTCAATCTATTTAGTTGCTATAGAAAAATATCATAAACTGAGAAACTGATGGACAATAACATCCTATTTCTCACTGTTCTGGAGGCTGGGAAGTCTAGCATCAAAGTGCTTGCCGCTTTGATGCCCTGGGAGGGCCTCTTTTCTGATTCTTGGTTGGTGCCTTCTCCGTGTCTTCACATGGGGGAAGGCGTGAGAAGAGAGACTTCCCTGTGCCTCTTTTATAAGACACTCACTTTAGCCATGAAGGCTGTGCCCTTGTGATCTAACCAGCTCCCAAAGGCCCCACATCTAACACCATCACCTGGGAGGTTCAGATTTCAACCTCTGAGTTTTGGGAGAACACCGATGGTCAGACTACAGCAGGTACTTGAATGTCAATTGTATTGATGGCTCACTCCAAGGGGCTCTGGGCTGCCAGAAGACAGTGGCAATCTCCCTGGGAGATGTGAAAAGGTGGAGATGTTGAAAAGGAAGTCCAGACAGGAAGCAGTTTAAATGAGAAAATCTAGAAAAGACCTTAGAGGTTGTCTACCCGGTGCTTTTCAACTGTTGTTATTAAATATTATTCTTTAAATGGAAATTTAAAGCAACACCCAGTATGTGCAACTGGTAAACAAGGAGCTCCTCTGGTTATAGTCAGGAAGGGATCATGAGTGTCCTTCTGTAAGTCTCTTTCATCTCTCCATCCCTATCTACCTTCACAATGGTCTGCTTTGAAAACCCTGGTTTCTGAATCTCACTATGTGTTGTAGACTAGAAAACAGAAAAGCAAAGTGGCTGTCGAAGGCCACAGAGCCAAGATGTGACAGTCATGACCAGGCTATCCCTGAAGTCTATGGCAATGGAGGTGCAGTGAAGACCAGCCATTCTCGGGTCAATCCTAGTTGTTGTGCCACATACAATGTTCACTACATGTGTTCACCTGTGCCCTACCTGGAGTAATCACGTTTCAGAGGCATAAATAAGAAACGAGAAGATGAGGAGCAACATCACAGAAGCTCTTGTTGTTCACTGTACTCACCTACTCCTTGTCTCCCTCCCCCCCTCTCTCTTCTTTCCTCTCTCCTCTCTCTCTCTTCAGCCAAACTTTGCTGTCTGTTTCACCAAATCTCCTGACATTAGAACAGGCAAGCACTCTTCCTTTTCTTTTCTTGTCTGGACTTTCATTACGCAAAATTATCTGGCAAAGCTCAGCTTGAAGTATCCTAAAGGGGAAAATAGAGCAATTTATATAATCCTTTGTATAATTGCCTGGCTTGAAAGGTTATGCTACTTTTGAATGTCGGAGATCTTTACATTCCTTCCAGAACATTCTAAGCATATAAAATTTACCCCCACTTTCATAGAAAATAAATATCTCACACATCATGTACTTAGAAAGGCAATTTTAAAACAGCATTTTAATGATTTTCAAAATATTATTCATTCTTAAATAAATTTACAGTTTATTTTTACTCCTAGGATATAAGCAAGGTAATCCTAGGACATAAGCAAGGTAAAAAAAATGATTTTTTAAAAAATTTTTTTAAAGAGAGAGGTTGAGCCAGAGAAAGAGAAAGGTCTTCCATCCTCTGGTTCACTCCCCAAATGACTGCAAGCTACAGCTGATCCAAAGCCAGGAGCCAGAAGCTTCCTCTGGGTCTCCCACATGGGTGCAGAGGCCCAAAGACTTGATCCATCCTCTCCTGCCTTCCTAGGCCATAGCAGAGAGCTGGATTGGAAGAGGAGAAGTTGGGACTCAAATTGGTACCCACATGGGATGCAGGCACTGCAGGCTGAGCCTTGGCTGAGCATTGGCTCCCCGCATTGTCTTTTGAGCCCAGTCTTCTATTATTTTCTGTTACATGAAGGATAGAAATGGCATATATTTATGTTTTTGCATTCTTTAACTTGGATATTAAGATGCAATTCATTCTATTTACAAAATTAACCACCCTAGTAGGTATCTCAGAATTCTGTTGATAGCCCCTTTTCTGCATGGAGATTTTCTGCTTTTTGTGGGCAAATATTTAACATCTAACATGGAATTCAGAGAAGAAAGGATTCAGAGGCTATCTGAATCTGAGAGTAAACTCAATACAGGTCATATCTTGCCAACCTACCCCCACATAGTTGAAAAATTAAAAAGTTTGGCTATGTTTGATAGGATATAGCTCCAAAATTCATGAAAATGGTTAAATTCTAAGATCATAGGTTGATGGTGCTGAGAGCATGGGAACTCAATCCAATTAAGATGGTGTCTAGGAGGTGGCCTAGTGGGATACCTATGGTCATGGGGGCCATGCCATCAGGAAGTAGCTTCCAATAGGGAGCTTGGCCTAGCCTTTCTCTATGCTTTCCAACTCATCGTGTGATGGTTTCTTTGTACATCCTCTATATTACCACATCCTGCCCTCACCAGATGACTAAACCATGAGACCTGCCTGTTCTTAGACTGTGAACCTCAAGATCTGTGAGCTGAAATGATATTCCTTTCTTCATTAGTAACTTGTGTTATAGTCATGAAGAGCTGACTAACCTACATTGTAGACATTTTCCAGGATAGGGTTTGCTTTGTTAAAACTGTGGTCTAGGGAAATACTCTTTCACATGCTATGTACGGTTTCCTGATCTTGGGTCTGTGAATGCATATCATAGCCTCTGCTTCCAGGCTGGATATCTTGATGGAAGTGGGAATAGCAGCAATGGAAACATCAGTAACAGCAAATGTCCACACAAATTCATTGCTGCAGGTACACCTTGAACTTGGCAAGTTTGCACACTGAATGACCTCTGTGCTCTCAGGACACCAATGTACAAAGATAAGCTTAGTATTGCTCCAAGTCAACTTTGTTCAGTGCTCTTTTTTAGGAAATGCTGATCATCTGAGCAAGCTTCTGGGTGGTGATACTAATGATGATGGGTGATGGAGGTGGAGGGTGTAGAGGAGAGAAAGGTTAACCATTTTATGGAGCTTCGTATTTCCAAATGTTGAAAGTAGTTTCTTGGGTCCAACACTGTGGTGCAGCGGGTTAAGCCACTGCATCCAGTGCCAGCATCCCATATGGGCACCGGTTTGACCTGGATGCTCCATTTAACATCCAGCTCCCTGGTAATGTGCCTGGAAAAGCAGGGGAGAATGGCCCAAGTGCTTGGGCCCCGGCACTCTTGTGGGAGACCCAGAAGAAACTCCAGGCTCTTCGCCCAGCTCCAGCCTTTGGGGCCATCTGGGGAGTGAGCAGTGGATGGAAGATTTCTCTCTCGTTGTCTCCTTTTCTCACTTTTTCTGTAACTTTGCCTTTCAAATAAAAAATAAATAAATCTTTTTTTTTTTTTTGACAGGCAGAGTGGACAGTGAGAGAGAGAGACAGAGAGAGAAAGGTCTTCCTTTGCCGTTGGTTCACCCTCCAATGGCCGCCGCTGCAGCCGGCGCACCGCGCTGATCCGATGGCAGGAGCCAGGATCCAGGTGCTTTTTCCTGGTCTCCCATGGGGTGCAGGGCCCAAGCACCTGGGCCATCCTCCACTGCACTCCCTGGCCATAGCAGAGAGCTGGCCTGGAAGAGGGGCAACCGGGACAGAATCCGGCGCCCCGACCGGGACTAGAACCCGGTGTGCTGGCGCTGCAAGGTGGAGGATTAGCCTACTGAGCCACGGCGCCGGCCATAAATCTTTTTTTTTAAAGAAAATTTCTGAGTCAAGGGAGCAATAGCAGTCTAGTACCTGCTA